ACAAGGGTAATGATTAGAAAATTAGTATGAGTTAGTTGTTAGCAACTGGGATTCCCAGATCGGTGAACATTCCACCCCTCAAATGAGGCACGCGACCATTAGGCTGCATTTTAGTGGAGTTCACGATGGTGGTAGAACTCGAAACCCTGATCACCGCCTCGCCCAAACCCTAAGGCTTGGGGGCGAACCATTGGACCTCAGGTCCGGTTCAATTCCCTTCATATCTGTATTAAAGTACAACAAAATAACGAGAGGGCATGCATGGCATGAGCCTTTCTTCCTTTCAACTTCCCGTGTTTGGGTAGTGACGACCAGAAGAACAAGCACAGGAGCACAGGTGAATGCGTTAATCATATGTAATCATTTCGTCATAATAGTCAATTTTTTTAATTTATTATTTTTAGCAACATGAGCCATGTTGCTGAAACTCTATCTTCAGCAACGTGGCTTATGTTTCTGAAGAGGGTGAGGAAATTCACCTTCTCTCCCCATCGGATTACGGTGAAAGTTTCCAGCAATATAAGTTATGTTGTTAATACCTTTTTTTCAGCAATATAGCTTATGTTGCTGATATATTAGCAACATGATTTTGATTGGTAATGTATCTAAAGATATATTAAAGTAAAACCGAAAAAATCTTTTTGCGTTCACACTGTGTGTTCACACTGTGTATCCACACCTGTTCACACTTATAAATTATATAGTTTTTATCTTTTGAACCCTTGAACTGGATCAGAACTGGATTGAAACCAGTTCAAAAATACTTCCTTTCACACTATATCAAATTTAAAAATAGAGATGATAAAATTATTACTATACCCTCAATAATTAATATCATATCATTCTAATATAATAATACTCATTATACCATTATATTATTATTTTTCTTAAATTCAATCAATCAATTTAATTTAATTCAATTCAATTATATTACACATTTTCCTAAATTCTTATTAAAAGAATCTTCATTAACTTATATTTGTGTATATATGTAACTGAATTGAAAAAAAAATTGTGTTTTACTTTTTTATTTCCCTTTTTATTTCCCTTTTTATTTTTACCTTGACCATTTTTTACCAAAAAGTCTAAGAGCCTGTTTGGTGTGGCTTGTAAGAGCTTTTGCTTTTTGAGTACTGTTATGAATGATAAATTTAAATTTTTATTGGAGGGAAAATAGAGTTTTAACTTTTAGAAATGTGAAAAAGTGAATGAAAAGTAAGTAAAAAGGGAGTTTATGAAAAGTTTGGATTTGAAACTTTTGAACTTTTACTGTTTAAGAGCTTTTTGAGGTTAAAAAAATATTTTAAAGTGTAAGTTTTTAAGAGGAAAATTTAAATTCATGAAATATGAATAGTATCCAGAAGCTGAAGCTCCTAGAAGTCACACCAAATAGGCCCTAAATCTCATCTTTTCCGCTTCTCCACCACAAACTGAAACCCTATCTTCCTCATTGTTACCGAATCGCCTTCCACTCCGGCCATAGTAATAGGCTTCGCCGGAGTACCAGCTTCCTCACCCGGATTCCATTCAAATCTAGGAATATGAAAACTGCTTCGTCCTCCTCGTCACGCTCTTTCCCCCTCTTCTCACTCACTCTATGTACTTTTTTTTGTCTCTCTTTATTCCACTTTTTCATCAGTACTGGGCGATGCTGGGTCCTGTTTTGCGTCTTTGATAATCGAAAATGAAGCTACCTCCAAACCACTGTACTAGAAAGTTACCAACCCCACTCTATCACCTTCTCATCTCCAAGGTCAGTCTTTGCAGTTCACTTTGATGATTGAGTGTTTTGAAACATAAAGTCGGATTCAAAATTTTGGAGACCCTTGATTATTTTTGGTTTAAGTACCATTTTGGTCCCTAACTTTACACTTTGGCACCAAAATTGTCCCTCAATTTTAAAAAGTACTAAAATTATCTTTAAACTTTCATTTTCGGTACTAAAATGGTCTTTCCGTCAGTTAAATGGACAGGTGGCATGTTAACTTGCCAGCAAATCAATTCTTTTATTCTTAACTAATGACATGGAAAAAAAAAAACATAGCTAGACATAATTTTTATGAGTTGGAATTTTTATTTAATTTAAAAATAATAATGTTCTTTTTTTTCCATCCACGTCACCAAAAAACAAGATCTCTTCTTCCTCTTTCACGTTCTCTCTTTTTTACCTTCCTTTTTCCCTTACCTCTGCAAACCCAGATCTGGGTTTTCTTTCTCAAACTTTATCTTCTTCCTTTACCTGCTCATCCTTCTTCTTTCTTCTTCTCATTTTTTCTCTCTCTCTCTCTTCTCCCTTATTCTTCCTCTCTGAAACTCAGATCTGGGTTTGTTTGAAACCCAGATTTAGGTTTGTCTGAAACCTAGATCTGGGTTTCATCACATCAATTAACAATTTGATGAAGTTGGTGATAATAAGAAAAAGCAATACAAATCATTCCATTATATTAATTAAATATAAGTTTTGATTTCAAATGGCGATTCGAGAAAACAGGAACTAGGGTAACCTATTTTCTGAAAGAGAGTAAAAAGGTGCCGGTGGTTGCCATGTTTAATAGAAGGCCTCAGCTCAGAACAATCCAAGTGAAATTGAAATTTAGAACAATCCTCACAGCAATAAGCTAAGACATTAGAGATATGAATCCCACATGCTCTGCAGAAAAACCACTCCTCACTTTCATTGTAAGATTTGATCTTGAGACAATGATTGGGGTGGAATGGGTGATCTTGGATTGTTTGTGGTAATAAATCAATGGCACATGATTGATGTAGGAAAAAATTGCATCTATGACACACAAAATGAGGACCTGGGGACTTTTCTCGACATGCCCAGCAGCAAGCTTCACGGCCATCCTCAATCTCACAAAGCTCTAATGGATGGTGATGGTAGACATGTTGAATCCATTTGGCATCTTCACAATTTGCTGTGGGAAGCAAGGCGCATTCAACATCTAACTCAAATAAACATGCTTGACACTTGTAAGCCAAGTCTGAGCATCATCGAAAAGGACTTTCTACGACGAAGAAGAACAAACGAGCTCCGATACAAGATTCGGAGTTTACGGAGCTCGAAAAACTTTATGAGTCTAGAACCCAACACAATCCAAGAAAAACCCAGATCTAGGTTTTGAGAGAGAAAGAAGGAGGGAGAAGAGAGAGAGAGAAAGAATAAGAGAAAGAAAAAAGAATGATAAGCAGGGAAAGAAAAAAGATGAAGTTGGAGAAAGAAAACCTAGATCAAAGATTGTTTTTTTGGGGGAATCCATGGATGAGGTGAGGAGGAAAAAGGCTGGGAAAAAAGAAGGGGCAAAGGGATGAGAGAGAAGAAGGGAGGAAGAAGAAGATGAACAATATAATAATAAATTAGGTGGGTTTTTTTTTAATAAGAAAAAAATGCCACGTGGAAAAAAAAAAAAGCAATCTCATCAAGTTTGTTTTCCACGTAATTATTATTTCTTTTAAAATGTGATTTTGTGGCAAGATAACATGCTATCTGTCATTTAATTGACGGAATGACCATTTTGGTACCGAAAATGAAAGTTTAAGGATAATTTTAGTACTTTTTAAAATTAAAAGATAATTTTGGTACCAAAGTGTAAAGTTGAGGGACCAAAATGGTACTTAAACCATTATTTTTTAAAGTTCTTTTAATACCTAATAAAACGATGTTTACTTGGAGTTTAGTTTGCTCTTTTTCCTGTGTGTAGATTTGCCTGGTTTTACTCGAAGTGTTTATGAAAGGGACCATGCAATAATTACACCAAAGAGTCATGTGTTCAGTCCTCTACCTGAATGGTACTTGAAAGTTTGCATTTTGATTTATTTGGAATGCTTGGCATTTTTTTGTGGTATGGTGATCTTAATTTATATGGCAGGACTAATACATTAGAAGCATATTTAATCACACCGGAAATGGGCACACACTTTGTGATGTACCTAGCCAAAATGCAAGGTCTGATCCTATTTGAGTAGTTAATTGTATATGTTTCATTTTGCTTTCAGATATCTGTACAGCAGCTGATGCAAACTTTTAATTTCATTACTGATCATGCGTGTCTAATATGATTGTTTCTGGTTTGACAATATTATTATGTGGTTTTGTATTATTTTCTGGGTCATTTACAATTAGGACTTCTTCTTGCAAGGTATTGCATTTTTGCATCAGAAATAGATCTTAGACTTCTTCTTGTTGATACTTAGGTCAGGGATTTGCCTCAATATCACACTGTTGCGTTGAATTTTTTTTCTCTTTTCCTTTTTCTTCTCCTTGAATTTTTTTTTTCTAAATATTTCTGCTAATGCAATCGGCATTTTTTTGTTCTTTGTAGATTTCGATCGCGAGGACTTGTAATTGCCTATATTCTCTATTGCAACAGCGACAACGCGATATTGAATTTAGAGAGTCTGCAAATGAACAACGACAAAGGTATTTTCTATTTTATGTTATTTATTTGCTCAATTCGGGGGAGTAGTTCTGTTTTTGATATTTCTACATCTTAACATGGTATTAGCATTTGATGTTAAATGCTATTATTAAATGAACATTGAAGTGGAGTGAATATTTTTTCTAAAATAATTTTTTGGTTGCATATCCTTTGTGTAGATTACTATCAGATATATCAAGACTAGAGGCAAAAGTTTAGAGGCTTGAGTCACAGTTGCAAACTAAAGATAGAGAAATAGCAACAATTACAAGAATGGTTGGAATCTCTTGGTTTTGTTAAGTGAGATTCTTTTGAGTTGACATTCGTGTTCGAATTAAGGACCACTTGTTAAAATAAATGTGATTAGGAAGCCAAAAATACAACAGCTTTTAAGGCACAAATTGAGAAGCTACAACAGGAAAGGGATGAGTTTTAGAGGATGGTGATTGGTAATCAGGTAAGCAGATTTTTTAAGGTTAAATACCCTTTTTGGTCCCTCTACTATAGGAAAAAGCCCCTTTTTGGTCCCTGTACCGAAAAAATCCCTTTTTTGGTCCCTAAATTTTAAAATCCGGCCCCTTTTTAGTCCCTCCGTCAAATTTTGC